AAATAGCACAAGTGCTTTTGAAGATGCTTAGTCACTGGTTTTATAAACCTAAATACAGGAATGCTGGGATAATCTTAGTCCTCTCATGAAAACGCTCGACTGACATCTATCAGAGCTCAGTTACTTGAGGAACTCTGAACTCTCACTTAGCAGTAACTCTTCCTACGCAGGACTACCCTCAAAGCAAAGGACGTGGACTCAGCCCCTCTCATGGTGGTCAGTACGTTTAAATTCCAAGAGCATAAGAATTTTTAAAACTCTGGAAAGTGCCTGCGAGTCAGTTTCTGAGCTGTGTATCTGGGCTCATGCCCATTTTGAAAGAATTGCTGAAACTAGACATGCACTTGCTTTAGCAAATTTAGAGGGATCTTGGAGAACAGAAAAAAACGTGCAAAATTATTGCCACAAGTAGGTAAAGGAATTAGGACAACTTGGCTTTGTCAAACGTTCCTGAATATGGTTTGTTTGTCATCAAAACATTCTACTGTGTATTGTCATATTAATTGTTGACAGTATGATTCTTTCCATTCGTACAATATAAATTTGTAATTTGTTGAAAATCTGAAGGGATCCTGATTTAATTTTCACATCTATTTTGTCTTCAAAAGAAAAATAATTTTAAAGTATATTTAAGTATTTTAAGGTATAGTAGTAGTCAATAGGCAGTGGAGAAAATGGCATGGTATGAGTGTGGCCGTGGAATGTTCTGACTTGTAGGAAAGTTTATCTGGGAATGAAGCCAAGGATGATTTTAACAGGGAAGGAGAAGCGGCAGTGAAGCCTGTATGATAGTATTTGTCAGTAATAGTAATCCAAAGGCATAAATTAATATTTTGACAGTAAAATAAAAAGGGAAATGTAGATATAAAAATTTTGAATATAGAAACCAGAAGATGAAGAAAGGCATTGGGATGGGGAGGCGGGGCAAGACAGTGACCATGGCTGGGGAGGAAGAGAATAGTGGAAGGTTCCCAGCCTGGTGCTTACGGGGTTCCATCTTTTCCCAGTGGCTTCACTACTACCAGTGCAGTCAGGGACTTGGCTGACTTGGAACACAGCTGAAAAGATAGTCAAACAAAACTTGCTATAAGAGATGGTACGGTACACGGGAAAACTGTAAACTTTAGAGTCAGACAGACTTGGGCTGAAATCTTGGCTTCACCACTAAATTTATGTGCTTAAATAATATTAGGCTTCTAAATAAAGATAATAATACCTAATTTCATGAATATATTGGTTAATGATACTGCAAATGTAGTGGTAATACAAAGTACCTGGCCCATTAAAGGCTCTATTTAAGGAGTAACAGTGATATTACCAGTGCTTTATTTATTATAATCTTTTTAGTATATTTAAAAAAAGATGTTGAGGAGGAAAAAGTTTAATAAAGTAGTAATAATCTGCTTAATATGTTCAATTAAAAAAAGAATAATTAAGAGGAAATTCTCGCTCCCATTTTTTTTTGTTTTGGTGAGGAAGATTGACCCTGAGCTAACATCTCTGCCAATCTTCCTCTTTTTTTTTTTTGTATGTGGGATGCTGCCACAGCCTGGCTTGATGAGTAGTGTTCAGGTCCATACCCGGGATCTGAACCTGCAAACCATGGGCCGCTTAAGTGCAGCATGTGAACTTAACCACTACGCCACTGGGCCAGCCCCTAATGGTCCCATTTTTCAGGTCAAAGTATTGATGCAAATACATGGATATAGTAAATGCACATTAAAATTACAGGTGATAACTACTAACTAAAATATAGTTCTTATTGTTCATAAATACCCTCTCCCTAGATCTGTGCTTTCATCATGACATCTAATTTTTAAATTAATTGTAGATTTATTTTAATGAGTGTCCATTTCCCCTTTACCTCTAATTAGCTGATTATTACCAGGTATTTTATTAGTGTGTACGTAAAGACATAAAAAAACCAAACTTTCTGGGGCCAGCGCAGTGGCATAGTGGTTAAGTTCATTTGCTCTGCTTCAGTGGCCTGGGGTTTGCAGGTTTGGATCCTGGGCGCAGACCTACACACTACTCATCAAACCATGCTGTGGTGACATCCCACATATAAAACAGAGGAAGATTGGTACAGGTATTAGCCCAGGGCCAATCTTCCTCACATACAAAAAAATAATTAAAAAAATAATAAACTTTCTCTTCTTTAGTAATGTTGGAAATGGCAGTGGCAAGTAGAGAGATATTCAGGTGTCAGGTTTAAGATATTTTTGAACTCCATATCATGGATAACAAATAAAAAATAGCCTGTGAGCTCCTAATGTGTTATGGACTTTGGGTGGGAAGAGGTTTTACTAAAATGGAGAAGGCTGTCTCCTGCCATCATGGAGCATCAGATATTTTTTCATGTGTAGTCAAGTAGAATACAAACTGATCAGTGCTCTAATGAGCGTTCTCACTGAAATGGAAAGATCAATTACGCAGGAAAGGGAAGTGAGTAGAAAAACTTTCCAGATAAAGTAGGAATTGAGCTAAGCCTTGCAGGGTGAGTAGCACCACATCAGTGGAATTTAAGGGGAAGTTGTGCAAGAGGAATAGTCTCTGTTAGTCTGAATGAAAGATGAGGGTCAATTAGCTGGAGGCCAAAAAAATTCACAGGTGAGAACTACTTCCATTTTCTTTGATTCAGGTGTCTCACTAACTTGATTTTGTTAATAGATAAAGAAAAGAATGACTCATATTAATTATATTCACAGATCAATAGTAAGAATACCAATGTATAATTTTATTATAAAAATTTCATTATGCACCAGAGTACTCAAGCCTAGAAGCGGACAAGAGGGATATATTATTATAAGCAAATTGGTGAATTGGTGGCCACTGAAAATCTCCTGTTTCTATCTGCAATCTGAATTAGATTTCCTTGTTCAACTCTTTCTTAGCATCTCATGCTGGCTAATTATTTTCATTGGAGGTACGAATTTAACTACCAAATCATATCTCATTCCTCACATCCAAGTTCATGGGAGACAAATCATTTTCATACAGTTAGAGTACAGGATGGGTGAGGTGGAAGTAAAAAAGAGAATAGAAAGCAATTGCATATAAAGAAAGAAAAACAGATTGTGAAAACATCAAGTTTTTCTTTTCTGCTTTTTGAGCCATGGGTTTTGACACGGAGGTACTTCCTTATTTGCTAATCTGGGCGGTTTTGAGGCTCTTCCTTTTGCTTACTTATCCAGTGCTAAAATTAGCTTATTATTCTTGGTCTAAATTTTTTAAGATATTGATAATTAATGGCAAATGATGTGAAACTCATTGACTGGCAATAATGCAAAAGGTGGGATTGGAATGAAAGAGGCTGCTACAATACTGCTCAGTTCAGATGGGTCTCACACATATTCCTTCCCCTAACTGATTTCATTGATGGACAGGCCGAGAAAAAGAGGGGTCTTCCACCTGACTGATCCTACAGACTGAGGCAGGCTGTGAAGGCAGAGTCTCTCTTCCCTAAAGGGGAGGCAGTGGTTCTTGGAACTAGTAGGTTAATGTTGGAAATATTTTTGGAGGAAATAGGACAAAGTCAAGACAGTAAATCTGAACTGGTACCATCCATCTAGGGGTCTATGTGAGCAATGAGGTCACAGGTAAGGAGCCAAACTGAACAGAATGTGGGCTTGGAGGCCACAGAACCACAGAATGGGGCAATGGGAAGTGGTCTACATCAATTCCAGAGAGGGAGACACACCGGCAGCAGCCTTTATTCACTGTAAGAATGGCGATGTCAGCCTGATTTAGTCAGGCTGGAAAAAGGCAAACATACCCCCATATATTTTAACCCTAGCAGTAACATACGCTGAAGTTTTCTTTAAAAGCATTTAATTACAATTTTTTCTTACCTTTAATATATGACACACTGTCAGATAACCTCTCCAAATATTGTGAGCTACCCCTTTTTATTATCAAATTGACTAGAGCTGTGTGAAGCGGCTTTTCGAAGGGAGTCTTTCTTCATCAGGGTCTTAGGATGAACATGCCCTAACAACGCATTCTTTCTTTCACCACTTGCACCTGGGGAAAAAGGCAAACAAGAACAGTGTGCTCTCTGCTCCTCTATTTAGCACACTCCACCTGCAAGACCCCCGTGAGACACTACAGACCTTTCTTAGGAGGGAGAGCTTTACAATATATCAGAGTGAATTTGGGGAGAAAAGCAAAACAAAAAGGAGTTGAATCTTGGGCTACAGAAAGCAAATAATCCAGAAGATGTAATGACGGGGTCTGCTGAAATGATGTTCTTTGAAAATTTTATGAGAGCTAGGAGAGTACACTCAATATTTGATTCAAGGCGAAAATAGAGGATCTTGGGTTTGAAAACAAGGTATACTAAATGAATACGTCAATCTTTAAAGAAAATAATCTATTCCTATTGAATTTGGATAAATTTAAACAGTATAACTTCTTTACTACAGTGATACCAGATACTTGAATTTACATAGCAAATTTATAATTCAACCTGATTTGATTTTTCCCCCGAAATCTCAACATGTGTATTGCATTCTTTGGTATGCCTTTACTCTTAAATTTACCAACAAATGGGTATCAACTCAGATGCTTTGACTTGGGGAGGGGTGATATTGAACAGATTTGATTTTTAAAGTGCTCTTATATTGTTCATCTTCAAAATGTGCACATTTTATATTTTGGGTTTGCTATAAATTTTGCCTTTTTAAGCAATGCTCTAGGTTATTCATCTTTTCAATTTAGTTCTTACTTGTTTGGAAAAAAAGAGGAAGCAATAACTTCTTAAGGACAAAAAGTAATTCCAGACACACACTCACACACTAGCATCCGTGGAACTTAGGATTCTTAACTCACTTATTACTTAAGCACGTTTTCTGATTTCAAACTTCTGGGTCTGACAAGTAAACGTTTACGTTTAAGGTATCAGCTTCTCCGAAACAGTGCTTTCTGGTTCTTCCTCTTTAATTCCACCTTAAAACATCTGCAAAGACTAAAGGAAACCAGCCACGTTTTAGCCCCTCCTACCAAGGATAAGACAGTAACTTCTCTGTGGTCCCGGGCTGAAAAAGGATCCCGACTGAAAGCTAGAGGCATAAAGAAGCCTGAAGAATCTCATGTAACTCTGGGAACTGTAAGCAATATATTTACTCTTCCCCCGCTCCACCCTCTCTCCCACCCTCCTTAGCTTTTAGTTTGTATCTTACTTGGAAGGAAGAAAGGACGGAGGGAAAACTAGTATTTCACGGCTTTGAAAAGTCTGCATGTCCTCTGTCTTTTGAAATGAGACACAGATCAGGGAACTTAATTTCTTCCTAACAAATACCAGTATGCTTTCCAATGTCTCAGTGCACTGTGGAGTCAACGATAAGGTGTTTCCTCCACTTGCAGCCCCCCGAAAGACAGCGAACATCCCCAAAGCCTGCGAGGTGGCGCGTACCAGTGCTCCGCGTGACGCCGCCCAGTGGTTACCATCCCCATCCTTCAGCCGCGTGCTGTGTGACAGCCCTAGCGAGCTTTAGCGGCCGCATTTGTTGGCTCATTTAAGTTTTAATTTTCAAAAAAAGACATCTCGGTTACTTGTACAAAGCATTCCTGCTTGTTTAATGTGTTGCAGTGTTATGTGAAAAGAAAAGACACTTAAAAAATTGTCAACCGAGCGGTATTCTGATTTGCCCTTCCACTAAGTTGTTTGACATGCCAGGAGAACAGAGCTGAAAGCGAGATACTGGAAAAGATTTGATCAAATAAGAAAGATTAATTTTGAGTGTGAATACTATTCTAATCATTTTGTTTTAGAACCAGTTTAAAGGGCATTTAGATTTGAAACAGGAGTGGCTTAGCATATCTGTCTCGTACAACTTGTAATTATTTCAGTCTCAAAAATAATGATTTTTCACCTCAAAAATTAGGACAAGAAGTGCTCCTCATACCGGCTGATGATGTAAGCATTGATTCTGCCCAAGTGGTTGGGAGAGTGCTAGGGTGTACCGTTTGAATGGGGTCAATTCTAAGTTATGGTATTTGCATATATATCCCTTTGGGTTCAAGGAGAATTTGTGTTTTGTTTTGTTGCTGTTTGTTCTAGCCCAAGAGATACAGGGGATGGGAGTGAAACAAACCCTATTAAGAGTTTTTAAATTATATTCCAGAGGTGCCTAGGCTTTAATCAAGTTTGATGTTGGGGTGAGAAGCAGGTTATTTTCTTCTTTCCTTATGTGGAGGAAGAGTTAAATTTTAAATTAAGCAATAATTGTGAAATGCATAGAGAAACGTTTACTCTGCACTTGCTCAAAGTAGCTTTACAAACTTCCTGTAGGGGAAGCACATTTAATGAGACAAGAAACTGCTTCTTTTTAACACTGTAAGTCACTTTTGAAATATTTTGCATTTTTATTTAATTAGGAAAAGGAAAATTATTAAATAGATTTCTTAATATCAGATACAGTTCATTCTATAGAAATAATTTGGCCTGTGTTTTTAACCTGTCGGTATCATTTCTAGTGTCACTGCTTAGAAAGCAAAGTCATAAAACCAAGTCATTTACATATTAAAAGATATGTTCCAGGAATAAGAAAGAGGAAGACAGAATTAGCTGTGGTTCCTCTTTCCCTGCTATGCCTTTTGTTTATCATCAGTTTTTTTTTTTTTCTCCTTTTGCTTGCAGATTTTATCACTTTAGTTACTCTCAACCTTTTTTTTCATCACAGACCCTTTTGCAAATCTTATAAAAGCTGTGGACCTCTCCCCAGAATAACAAGCTCCTCCAACATGCACAAATTTGGAAATATCTTCAGGAAGTTCACAACCGCCCCCCCCCCCACCCCCCCAGAACCATTCTTGTCACAGGAAAATGCAGAGTGTCTTAGAACTTGGGAGTTTTCTGATAATATTAAATAATTAATTAACAAATCATTTTACTTGTAAGTAAAGAACTGCCTAAGAGTGGATATTGCAGGGCCCATATGGTCACTTATTCACTGGTGTTCTGGAACTCCAAGCAATTTGGTGTAATTGAACAAATTACTTGCCTGGAAACCAAGTGACCTAGATTCTGGACTCAACCTCAGTAATAATTGGCTGTACAATACTAAGCTTGCCACTTCTCTGCAACATCTGCTATTTTTTATTGTTGAATGCAATAAGTAAAACATAATAGGAAAAATACAATGCAAGTGATTTTGGATTGGGTTGTGGGATGTCTATATTTGCTGCTTTTCTTCCAAAACTTCCAACCATATTTCCAGCATAATTGTTTTATAATATTCTTGCTTATTATGAAGATAATTCATGCTCACACTTTAAATTTTGTTAAATATAGAAAATTGCAAAGAAGAAATGGAAAAAAAAATTGCCTATAATCTCCCCCAAGGAGTAACTACTTTAAAAATGTTATTCATTCATTTATTCAATCAACACATATTTATTGAATACTTGGCATGCATGAGCACACAGACAAAAAGACAAGGAATTCATGTATATAGATCTGTTTATACTTCTAGACACTTTTCGATACATACACTCTCATGTAGATTTTGCAAAATTGTGATCATACTTGTTAAAAAATAAACTGAGGGGCCAGCCTAGAGGTGTAGCAGTTAAGTTTGCGTGCTCCGCTTGGCAACCAGGGGTTTGCTAGTTCGGATCCTGGGCGCGGACCTCTGCGCTGCTTGTCAAGCCATTCTGTGGCAGGTGTCCCACATAAGAGGAGGAGGAGGATGGACACAGATGTTAGCTCAGGGCTAATCTTCCTCAAAAAAAAAGATAAAAAACTGACTTAACCAACAGAAGCTCAGGGAAAAGCTTCTAGAGAAAAGGCAGAAGGAAAGTAAGGAAATTATTGATTGACTATCGCTTAAAGCCTAGTTTACTGTTTGTGCTTGTTGTGATTGATTTCAATTTTGTAACCTTGAGGCATTTACAGGCTTAGAGTTTGGTTTGCTTCTGTAGGCCGCCATGGCATGAGAGCTGCCTCAGTCAAATGGCCTTATTTAATTAGTTTAACACGCTGTTCATCGTGTTTTATAACACTCTTTGCCCTTGATCATGAAATTTTCTGTTAAAACATGGTTTTTTAAAATTGAGTTAATGATAGGTTGCAATCTTGTGTAATTTCAGTTGTACATTAATGTTTGTCATTCGTGTTGTAGGTGCGCCACTTCACCCTTTGTGCCCACCCCCGACCCCACCTTTCTCCTGGTAGCCACTAATCTGTTCTCTTTGTCCACATTTTTAAATTCCTCATATGAGTGGTGTCATACAGAGATTGTCCTTCTCTAACTGGCTTATTTCACTTAACATAATTCCCTCAAGGTCCATCCATGTTATTGCAAATGGAATGATTTTGTTCTGTTTTACAGCTGAGTAGTATTCCATTGTATATATGTACCACATCTTCTTTATCCATTCATCTGTTGATGGGCACTTAGGTTGCTTCCATGTCTTGGCTATTGTAAATAATGCTGCAATGAACATTGGGGTGCATAGGACTTTCGGAATTGCTGACTTCAAGCTCTTTGGATAGATACCCAGTAGTGGAATGGCTGGATCATACGGTAGTTCTCTTTTTAATTTTTTGAGGAATCTCCATACTGTTTTCCATAGTGGCTGCACCAGTTTGCATTCCCACCAGCAGTGTATGAGGGTTCCATTGTCTCCACAACCTCTCCAACATTTGTTACTATTAGATTTAGATATTTTTGTCATTCTAATGGGTGTAAGGTGATATCTTAGTGTGGTTTCGATTTGCATTTCCCTGATGATCAGTGATGATGAGCATCTTTTCATGTGCCTATTGACCATCCGTATATCTTTGGAGAAATGTCTGTTCATGTCTCCAGCCCATTTTTTGATCAGGTTGTTTGATTTTTTGTTGTTGAGTTGTGAGAGTTCTTTATATATTATGGATATTAAGCCTTTGTCAGATATATGACTTGCAAATATTTTTTCCCAGTTAGTGGGGTTTTTTTTGTTTCAATCCTGTTTTCATTTGCCTTGAAGAAGCTCTTTAGTCTGATGAAGTCCCATTTGTTTATTCTTTGTATTGTTTCCCTTCTCTGAGAAGACATGGTGTCCAAAAATGTCCTTTTAATACTGATGTCAAAGAGTGTACTGCCTACGTTTTCTTCTAGAAGCCTTATGGTTTCAGGTCTCACCTTTAGGTCTTTGATCCATTTTGAGTTTATTTTGTTGAATGGTAAAAAAGAATGGTCAATTTTCATTCTTTTACATAGGGCTTTCCAGTTTTCCCAGCACCATTTGTTGAAAAGACTTTCTTTTCTCCATTGTATGCTCTCAGCTCCTTTGTCAAAGATAAGCTGTCCATAGATATGTGGTTTTATTTCTGGGCTTTCAATTCTGTTCCATTGATCTGTGCACCTGTTTTTGTGCGAGTACCATGCTGTTTTGATTACTGTAGCTTTGTAGTATGTTTTGAAGTCAGGGATTGTGATGCCTCCAGTTTTGTTCTTTTTTCTCAGGATTGCTTTAGCAATTCGGGGTCTTTTGTTGCCCCGTATAAATTTTAGGATTCTTTGTTCTAATTCTGTAAAGAATGTCATTGGGATTCTGATTGGGATAGCATTGAATCTGTAGATTTCTTTAGGTAGAACAGACATTTTAACTATGTTTATTCTTACAATCCACGTACATGGAATGTCTTTCCATCTCCTTATGTCGTCATCCAATTCTCTCAGAAAAGCCTGTAATTTTCATTATATAGGTCCTTCACTTCCTTAGTTAAATTTTCCCTGAGGTATTTAATTCTTTTTGTTGCGATTGTGAATGGTATTGTGTTCTTGAGTTCTTTTTCTGTTAGTTCGTTATTAGAATATAGAAATGCTACTGATTTATGCAAATTGATTTTATACCCTGCAACTTTGCTGTAGTTGTTGATTACTTCTAAGAGTTTTCCAATGGATTTTTTGGAGTTTTCTGTATATAAGATCATGTCATCTGCAAACAGCGAGAGTTTCACTTCTTCCCTCCCTATTTGGATTCCTTTTATTCCATTTTCTTGCCTGATTGCTCTGGCCAGGACCTCCAGTACTATGTTAAATAAGAGTGGTGATAGAGGGCATCCTTGTCTCGTTCCTGTTTTCATGGGGATGGTGCTCAGTTTTTGCCCATTGAGTA